ATCCACCTGCTGGCCTCCACCACTTGCTAATGTTACTGAATCTGTGGAAGCTCCGCGATAGCCACCACACGAAGTAACGAGTAACGACCCTATCTAAATCCCAGTAACGAGTAACGCGTTCCTGATTTTGGCATAATAACTAGTTACCATGCTCGTTACCACAATAATAACGTAGTTACTGTAACGCGTTACTTAATAACGCGTTAGTCCCAACACTGGTTGCAATACAATGCACACAATGCTAAAATTAAAAACAAGATATTTTAGACTCCTTATATTCAGTTGCTTTATGTGTCCAACCAACAATCTCGAAACCTTTCAGGCTAGGCAAACTTATTTAAATGTGAAAATCGAGGTGCATAGTACAATAATTACCTAATCAGTGGTAAAAATCACTCATGGCTTGCTGGCTTGCTGGCTTCCTCGTTCCGATATTGACGCACTTGCTGCATTTGTGCACATGCATTATTACAGTCATTTTGAGTGCACTCATTTACACATGAATGATTTAGATAATGTGGCTATTATATGTAAATTTGGTCTTGTTTACAAGACGACTCAGACAATCAGGCAAGTCGGACTTTGTTGCAATGTCAGGATGTTCCTTTGTTCCAGATCTTAACAATTTGCCTTGACAACTAATAATCTGCAGTGGTCAAAAGTAGAAAAGAGTGACCCAAAATCATCACCGTTATTAAAGCTCTGGCAGATAATTAGGTTGACCGGCTACCTGACAAATCAGATTGCTTGTAATCTCACTCGCAGCACTGATTTATATGTGAGTGTACAGCTGTGCACTTGAATATAAGCGAGTGTTAGTGTGTGGTAGTACCTGTGCTTGTGTGTCCCTCTTATCTAGGAAGAGCTGAGGATGTGCCTGTTGCCACACAGAGGGAGATTTCTTTTTTTTTTTCCTTTTTCTAAGCCTCAGTAAAGTATAAAGACACACACACACACAGATGAAAAAAGCAAGATAGATCTTTTTGAAGTACAATTTCATCCTCTCCCCTTCCCACTTTTCTCCTTTTTTTCTTGTGGTTGAGGGAGGCGTGTTGGATCTGATGTGCGTTACGGCTACAGCCGAGAAATTTTTGTTGGACCAAAGTACTACGTGCGCAAACAGCATAGACGCACACATGCACGCACAACTGAAGAGAAGAACGGACTCTTCGTCTGTGTTCACGAGGGCTTTGATGTTTAATGTGTCACGTTTTTCGATGCCCTCTGCTGAAAGAGTGTTAAAGCATGTATGTGCGCGTGTGATCTTTCTGCCTGCAGAATAGAGGCACAGTCATAGTGAAGGAGGGTTTGATGTCAGTGTCTCTCTCTCTCGCTCACATACTTTTCCCCCCACTTCTTCTGCAGCAGGTATCTCAATCTCACTCAGAAGGCTGGAACATTTTTCTCCATCTTATTCACCCCTCTCAGCCTTTTTCTCTTTCTCCCCGTCCACACCCCCACCCCCTCCTCCTCTTTTCTCCCGCCGTCTCTAGTGGCTCGGCCGTGTTGCTGTCTGTTTGTTGGGGGTAGATTATCCTTCATGCAAATATACATTCTGCGATCATTAGCAACTTATTTCACACTCGGTTTGGGGTTTCATTCTGCTTAACAGCTGCTTTGGTTTTGATAGTGCATACTGCTCTTTTACTCTCACACAGTTTCCTCCTGAATCTGAGACGAAATGATTTAAGTGTGTATGGCATTGTGAGTTATTGCTCCAAAGCTGTGAACATTTCGATCCGCAGTTTAGAGACGATGGTTTCCAAATGAGACAGTTATAGGATGACTTTATATATTGTTGCAGTTAGCACGGGGGGGAAAAGGAAAAAAACAAAACATAATGACTCAAATGTTTTTAAGTCAGTTCACATGATTGGAGACATCAGTATTTGGCTCAATTACCTTTCAAGACAATGCCTGGCTGTTTGGTATATTGGCTACGGAGTGCTGAAGTGAATCAAACCTGTGAGTTATGAGGCAGTTATCTCCTACCATTAGGCCCCCTTGTTGCCGGCAGTCACTCTTCTTGCTGTGCAGTCTCACTTGTTGTCGGAATCTCTCAGCATCTCTTCGTCCCTTTCCCATTTTCCCTCTCTACTTGTCGCTTCTCCAGCTCTTGCAAGTCTCTCTTATCTCCCTTCTTCTCTCGGTCTGTCTCGCTGATTGTAAAATTGAAAAGGGCTCTAATTCTGGTTTTTTGCTCACATAGACTCCAGTGCCTTTTTTTATCCCTTTTTCTGCAATTAATTTACTTCCTCTGAAAAATCTGCTGACTGTCTGTGCTGCTGGCCCCACATGTCATTGCAGGATGAGAAATCCACATTCTTCCAGTTCGGCGCGGCTCTTCAGCAGGAGGCTCTGCTCATGCTTGCTATCATGGAGGAATACGACTGGCATGTTTTTTCTATCGTCACATCCAAGTTCCCCGGGTACCAGGAATTCATAAGCACGCTGAGGGTAACTGTGGATCACAGGTAATGAAAACACCACACACAAACGCACATGTTGTTTTCTTTCCTTTATTTATGATAGCTGACAAGCTGTGTGTTATTGTTTAATGGTTTATTGTTACAGCTTTGTGCGATGGGACATGCAGAGTGTGGTGACTCTAGATGCTGTGGATGGCGACCCAAACTCTAAATCACACATTGCACTCAAGAGGATCCAGAGTCCTGTTATATTGCTCTACTGCTCCAAGGATGAAGCTGTGTAAGTGTTTGCGTGTGTTGTTTCGTTGCGCCATTTCTGTCTCTTTGTCACACACTGCCTTCACAGACTTCAGCTTTGGATCTGTCTCCTTTGTTTGACAGGTATATAATGGAGGAGGCTCGGTCCTTGGGTCTGATAGGAGCTGGTTACATCTGGATCGTGTCCAGTCTCACCACTGGCAACCCAGACTTTACCCCTGAGGTAGTGAGGTCCCATATGTAGTAACAGGTGGCCACTTTTGTGTGGTTTGATAAAACAAGCCTTGTTTTTGATCCCAGGCTGTTGCAGGTCATCTGCTGACTATCCCAGATTTCCCCTCTTATTTATGAATGCTGACCATGATACATGGTCAGCTTTTTTGAGAAAAGTTACATAAAAAATAATATAATTCTCCGTACCCACAGATTAATTAATTGTTTCACATCCATCCATCCATCCATTCGCTTCCGCTTATCCTTTTCAGGGTCGCGGGGGGCGCTGGAGCCTATCCCAGCTGTCATAGGGCGAGAGGCGG